AAGAATCTTATATATGAAAACGGAGGGAGTATATTGTAATCTAGAGGGAGTAAGAAGGGGTGATATTAATGTTTAAAATATTTGAATTAATGTTGAAAAATAATCAACTCAATATGTTCACAACGTATATAGATGTTTGGCAGTAGAATTAATTTAATTTCGCAGAAACAATCTTTTTCAAGTTGATAGACTTGTATTTAATTTTAAACTTTTTTTTTTAAATTTCCAATCTTGTTAGATATGATTAGTATATGAGTTATACTTTTTAACATAGTATAAGTTCAATTTGTCAAACTTCGTTTCCTTTTCTTCGGTTTTTTCTAACACTTTTTTTCTCTTGATTTTTTATTCCGGAAAAACATTTTCAAGGTGAAAATTGTGGGGCAGGTACTTATTAATGATGTCAAAAGAAAAAGTACTTATGCTTGGTCGTTGCTTGAGACATGATAAAGTACGGAATACTTGAAATTATAAGTAAAAATATGGGTTAACCCGACTCATATAAATTAAAAAAAATATGAGTTGAATTGAATTCAATTTATTTTTATATGAGTTAAACAAATTTTAACCTAATTTAACTCTTGAGGGTTGGCAAGTTAAATGGGCCAACCCGTCAATCCATTTTTTTATTTTTTTAATTTAGTTTTTATAATTTTTTTTAAAAATACATTTAAATGATAAGTTTTAATTTGATATTTTTTCATGATTCATTCTAAATGTACTAAAATATTAATTTATGATGTTTGTATAAAATATATAAATTAATACAACTAAATATATCATGTCTAATATGATTTATATCCACAAAATTTTCTTCTTTTTTCTTTTTTTTTTAATTTTTTAAAAATAATATGGGTTAAACGGGCCAACCCTGACCCATTAGGATTAACCCATATGGTTCACAGGTTATATAGTCTGGGCAAAAAAAAAAAAAACTCTGTTTTTATTTAAGTCAATTTTTTACAACCAAACCCAACTCTTATAACCGATTATTCAGACCAACCCACATAATTCGACTCATATTCTTGGCTTTACTTGAAATGTAATATTTTTCAATTTCTTTATAATCTTTTTTAGGTCATTGTTAATTACTTGACTGTTACCAATAGAACATAATTGTAAGCAAATGTGATTAAATTTTAAATTAAATTATCAAAATTATTTTAAAAAACATATAATAGTTGTTTCACCTATTTAAAAGTGTTTATTAATTCAAAATTTTAAAAATTTCATTACTAATCAGAATTAATTTTGTTTGATATTTTTTTATAAATGAATATAATCAATTATTTACCTGATTAGAATGGAATGAACAATCAAGTAATGAAAATTAATAAATCAAGTATGTTTATAATCTAACATAACTAATTCACATGACACTAATTGGAAACTAGACTAAAACTCCATGCGTTGCACAGAGATGAGCGTGACAATTGAATAATCATTTGAGATGAAAAGAAATTTAAATTTAATCTAACCTTATAAAGCTCTATTCCTTAATTTCAGTTATGAAAGGGTGGGTTTTTAAATGAACCAATTGAGTGGATTGGATGAGACTTCTAAAAATATAATTCAGAAGATTAATTAATTAATTAATTAATTAAAAAATTTATTTAATTACTAATGAAATCTTATTAGATCCCATTACAAAAAAAAAAATCTGTTGAAAGTTAAAACAGATTTCTGGGTTATGGAATTAATTTGCTTGCAGATTTTCAATGTTTCTTCCTCTTCGTCATGAATAACCATAATAAATTTCTCACACATCCCCAATACAATTATTTGGATAAAAATTAAATTAATCAAAAGATTTGAAGTATGTCAACAATAAATGTTTAAGTTGACTAATTCATCACTATGAAATAATTTAAAACAATTTATTTTATAATATTTTAACTTCTAGTCTAAATATCATAAAATATAAAAAAATACGAAGAATGTAACAAATGTTATTCTTCGGTAACCAAAAGGTACATACTTTTTGTTGTAAGATTGTCTCTTCCCCATGTTTGAATATGTTTTTTTTTTCCCCAACTTGCAGCGAATGGTGTAACCTAAGAAGATTTTTTCAAGACCACAAATGAACGTCATTATAGATTAAAAAAACTTGCTGAATTAGAAAAACCAACTAAAAACGTGCAGATACCTGTCACTATAGCTCATGCCTATAAAAACATCTGGCCTTCAAAGCCACCACAGGCAACAGGTCTAAACTACATTCTGATGGATAGAGAGGTTCAAATATATTTTTATCACTAATTATTCCATTTTCTCTTTCGATTTGTTAATTTTTTCAATATTGGAAGAAATTGACAAATCATTTTTTTTTTCATTTTGATTTATTTGTTTTTCTTATCTGCCTAATAGCTAACTAAAATTCAAGCCAGTGGTTCGAGATCAAACTTTGTTTTCAAAAGTTTGAAATGATTGTACAAGAAGGAAGAAAATATTACTCTTAAGAATTTTGATATGATGAATGGACATTCAAAGTACAGCCCTTGCCGCCATTGTTTTGTTTTGTTTTTTTTTTTTCAATGACAGAATAAAGATCTTAATGAATGAGATGAATTTTTGAAGAGATCGATTGGGAAGAGAGCGAAGAGAAATCTGGAAGGTTATTGTCGAGTTGTAGCTTTATATATAGAAGTCTCATTCTGTTATATCTTTCCATAGTTATTGGTAGTCCGGATAGATATTATGCTTTCAGATGTAATTGGAATCATTGATGAAATAAATAAATAGAAGCTTTATCGGACAGATGAAGGCTTCAAATCAAAGTTGAAGTTCTATCATAGAGATAATAGGTAATCTTTACAAAATATTATCTTCACCACCTATGTTCTGTATCGGATTCTTTCAACCTTTACTTCAAGAGTAAATGTACATTTTTGCTCTTAAAGTATTCTCTGAAAAGCATTCAGCACTCTAAATTATTTATTGAAGCAAGTTTGCTCTTAAAGTAATTAAAATGGAGCATTTTTGCCTTTTCAGTTAAATTCTCTAACGGTCAACGTTGGAGCCTCAATTAATATTTTTAACAGTCGACATTGAGAATTTGACAATAAGAGCAAAAATACTTTATTTTAATTACTTTAAGGAGAAAATTGCTCTTACAAATAGTTTAGGGTGCTAGGCACTCCTTCGAGAATACTTCAAAGATAAAAATATACATTTACCTTTAGTTTAATTAATGCACCTGAACTCCTCTTTTTCCAAGGGGAATCGGATTCAGTGCATTTTGCTTAATGAGATGGCTGATGATGCATGGGAGTGGTATAATAGAGGGGAAGAGAGAGTAAAAGTTATATATGATTCAGTATAGTTTAGAGCTGGAAATTGAAGGTATTATATGCTATAACAAATTTAAGTTGCATTCTTTGAAAAATCTAGGTTCTCGTAATTATAATTTCCAACATAAGGACATTAAATTTGCAGGAGGAAGCAAGTAAGAAGTTATGGAAACACAAGCAAGGTGATATTTGATCTAATCAATCCGGATGACAGTGAATATAAAGATTTATTTGGAGGAGAGTTAGGTGATATTCACATTATATTGATGGATCTTTTTGTTGGTGATGAAAATTAGGGTCGTGGGATGGATCTGTCTTTTTTGTAATGATTGTATTAATATATTAATAAGATAATTTAAATACTAGTTTTGCTTATATTAAGATAATTTTATTTTTTGTTATTATAATTTAATAGTTTCTTTAATTTTTTATGTATTTAATTTTAATGAATTTATTTTTATTAATTTAATAAATATTTATAATTATATTTCAAAAATATTAATACTTATTTATATATGTTTTGCAAAATTTTCTAGCCACTGCTCCATAATATAAGATATCTATTGTTTCTTGAAAAATAATTTATAACTAATTTTGTATTTTTACCCAAAAAATTATTCTTGTTAGTTGTTAGGGGTGAAAATAGACTAGGCCAAACTAGGCTTTGGCCAAATAGGCTTGAACTTATATGGTAAATTAGAGGCCTGAGCTTGGCGTAAGCTTGTATAAGGCTTTTTTTATAGTTCAGGCCTGAGTCTATTTAAAACTTGGCCTCACCTGCAAGCCTATTTAGAAGCCTATTTAAAAGTAAAGCCTTTTAAATAGGTTCACATTTTAATTTTAAACGTCTCAAATATACTTTAGAGCTATTATAACATACAATATATAATCTAATTTATCAATTACAATATATAAAAATTGAAATGATTTCCTAACTACAATACAAAATAACAATAAAGTGACAATATTAAAATTAATATATAAGTCAAATATGATTAAAAATATAATTAAAAGAATTAAAGAATAAATTGATTAAAAATCATATGGTGAAATTGATGTGTTTGTGATATAATACATAATATATATATATATATATATATAAGCCAGCTTGTTGGGCTTGTAGGTCAAGCCTTAAAAAATAGGCCTGATCTATTTAATTAAATAAGCTTAATTAAAGGCTTGAATTTGACCTAAACATATTTAGTAAGTAGATTAGGTTAAATTTGAAGTAGGTCAAGTTGTAGGCTCTTGTTAAGAGCTTGATCTATTTCCACCCCTATTAGTTGCTATTATTATTGCTGTTGCTGTTGTCATTACTGTTGCTGAGAGCTATTGTTGTTGTTGTTCACTCATCAAATTTAGGGGATTTAAAATAGTTTATAAAATAAGTCAATATATGAATAGCATGGCTAGTTTCAAACTTTTATATTATACACTTTCATGAAAATAAATTATAATATGGAGGGAATGCAAAAAAAAAAAAAAATCCCTGGCTAAAAAATTAATAGCTAAAATATACCTTAAATTTTAACCAACAAAAGTTGGTTAACATGTCTTTATAAGAGGAGCAGATTGTTTTCATCTCCCTCCCTCATTACGGCATTATATATCCAATTTTGATTTTTTCCCCCCCATTTTGTTATCGCCATACAATTTTCTCATTAAACAAGCCCCTCAGGCGCCATTTTTTTTTTTTTTTTTTCGTTGGCAAGCCATTTTTAAGATGTCGTGATTTCGTGTTCCCTCCTACAATTCGTTTGGATTTGGACTACGAACCCTAACCAGTCGTCTTTTTCACACACATCGTCGTCTTCGTCGAATCATTGCAGGCTATTCTCTATTGCTCTGTCGGTCGTCCTCTCTCAGTCTCTTTGTTGACATGCTCGGAGCTCGCCAGCTAGGTATTCTCCCCGTCCTCCAGATTTGTTGTCCTTCCTCGTCCCTTGCTCTCCCTCATTGTCCCGTATGCTTAGTGATTCTTCCTTTTATATATATATATATATATATATATATTTCTTATTCTTCTCCATGCTTCTAAGTTCCTCCTCCTCCATGTCTCTGCTTCGTTGATATGCTTAGAGCCTGTAGCTTATATATATACACTTTTTTTCTACTGTTTGCTTCTAATTTCTCGGTATACTTGCCTCGGATTCTTTTGCTTATCTGCTTCTAATTTCCTCTCTGTATGTTGCTGTTGCTTAAATTGTTTGTTTTGTTTTGTTTTACCCGCATATCTTTTTTTCTCTGTAATGTGCTCTGGTGATTTGCTTCTGTAATTGTCTGGTATTTCTTGACTCTAATTGAGTATTTTGATTTGATTTTGAATTTTGTACTCAGGTAGAATTTCTGATTTTGAGAACTTAATGTCTGATTTGATTTGTTTATTTCTGTCTCTTAATTGTATACTTCTGAATCTTATCGTGTTAATAAGATATGTTATTAGAGTATGTTAGTATCTTATCTTAAGGCTGGCTGACTAGAATATTTAAGATTTAAGGTTTATTAATTGCTGAGCTCAGTTTTTTATATCTTAATTCTCTTATCTTTTCCTCCAGATTCGTATTGATGAAAAAGTTGAGTGCTGGGACTCTGTTTTACTAGACGATATTTGAGATGGTGGATGAAGATTATACTAGTGAGAATGAAACACCAATGCCTACTGGATATGCCCTTCCTTCCCCCACTACAGGTAATGGTAATATAGAGGGTAGTACTGGATCTACACTTCCTTCCCCAACTACAAAAGATGCCAGTAGAGAGGGTAGGGGCAAAAAGAGAAAAGAGCTTGAGAAGAATCAATCAGAAGCCTTGGATAATTCCGTGAAACATGCATACAATGAAAAGCGATGTCGAAGAGCTCTAGCGGAGTTTATTATTTGTGATGAGATGCCATTTTCTATAGTTGAAAAGCATGGGTTTAAACAACTTGTGAAAGAGCTAGAACCACAATTTCCAGTACCTTCAAGAACAATAGTTGCTAGAGATTGTTGGCAATTGTACCTTGGAAAAATCAAGGTACTAAAGGATGTGTTGAAGAAGTGTTCTAATCGTGTTTGCTTGACTACAAATTGTTGGACATCAAATCAAAACACTAATTACTTGTGTTTGACTGCTCATTTCATTGATCATGATTGGATATTGCATAAGAGGATCCTAAATTTTTGTATGATTGAAAATCTTTGTGGTCACACGATTGGCAAGAAAGTTGAAGAGTGCTTGCTCGAGTGGGATATAGAAAAGGTATTCACCATAACTATGGATGACGTAACAGCAAATGACACAGCCTTGGTGTATATAAAAAAGCGACTGAAGAACTGGAAGGGTTTAGTTTTTCGTGGTGATTATCTACAAGTTAAGTGTTATGCACACGCACTTAATTTGGTGGTTAATGAGGGGTTGAAGGTATTGAAAAAAAACTTTGATGCCATTCGAAATGCTATTAAATTCGTCCGTTCCTCTTCAACCCGCTTCCAAAAATTCAAAAACTATGTTGAATCAGAAAGATTGAATACCGATAGTCTTCTTTGCTTGGATGTCGAAACCAAATGGAATTCAACTTTGTTGATGTTGGATTCTGCTTTGAAGTTTCAGAAGGTATTTGAAAGGATGGAAGAGGAAGATGATGATTATTATGCATACTTCAGGGAAAGCTCTACTTGTGATGGACCTCCTAGAACAAAAGATTGGAGTAGGGCAAATGCCTTCCTCAAATTCTTGAGGGTTTTTTATGGTATAACATTGAAGTTATCAAGCTCCGTGGATGTGACATCAAGTACATGCTTCCACCAAGTTGCTCGAATTCATATGGAGTTGGAAAAAAATATTGTGAATGATGATCCTCTTCTTATGGACATGTTCCTCAGTATGAAAAGTAAATATGATGAATATTTGGGTAAGATAGAGAATATGAATCCTTTGTTGATAGTAGCTGTGATTTTGGATCCTCGTTATAGACTTGCTTACGTCAACCATATATTTGAAAAGCTTTTTCTTGACTCTAAAGTTTGTATGGCCGTGAAAAAGATGGCCAAAGATGCCTTGTATCGTATGTTTGATGTGTACTATGCAGGAATTTTTCCTCAAACAAGTAGTAGTACTGTCAATACACCTCATTCTTCAGGGTCATCAAGTACATTTGATGAGGATATAGATCCACACCGCGGATGGTTAGGCTTTTTGGAACAAGAAAGATCTTCCAATCCTCACTCAGAGCTGGATAGATACTTGACATCTTTTTCATTTGATGAGATTCCTATTGGAGATGAATTTGATATATTATCATGGTGGAAAGCTAATTCTGGTAAATATAATGTGCTCTCTTTGATGGCACGTGATGTACTTTCTATGCCCATTTCTACTGTGGCCTCTAATTTGACATTCAACATCGGGGGACATATAGTTGACTCTTATAAGAGTTCATTATCACCGAGGATGACTGAAGCACTTATCTGTGCCCAAGATTGGCTACTTCCCGGGCAATCTCTCTCAAAATCTGTCTCTAAACTTCTTGAGTTTGACAATTTTGAGGAGACGGATAAAGTTGTCCATTCTAGTGAAGCTTTTAGATATGCATGGCAACTTAATTGATTGCTTAATCTTGATATATATATATATATATATATATTTGGATGCTTCAAGTGTAATCAATGGTGGAGAGGATTATGGATGAGCATTAGTTGATGTCAAATGGCTCATTTGGCCCCTTTCTATGTTTGAATTTTTTGGATCTTTCGGTCTTGCTATGTTTGCATGGTTTCTTTGTAATGCCAGTTAGTTGGCTACTTGGTTTATTAAGTTGAATGGGCCTTGTTAGATTATGTAGTTGATTTTGTGGTTTATTGTGTTTGAAAGTTAAATGGATGGCTCTTGTAATTGATGGTGGATTATATTGATCTAGGTTATTTTATTTTTTCCTAATTGTTTTAGTTTATTACTTAGGATTATTAATGTTATTTCATGGTTTCATAAATAATCATGTTAATGTAGGTTCTTGTATTTTGCCTAGTTGTTGAACTAGGTGTATGTAACTTTTTGAAATCAAATCAATTTGTTGGTGGTATGTTTCTTGTTTGGTGCAAGATCAGGTTATATCAAGTTGTTTTAATCTTTCTTTTAATGATAGTAATCAATTGTAGCTCAGAGTTTGCAGTGGGGACTTCCTCTACACCGCCACCAATATTCTCCTTTCCATTTTGTTGATCTTCCATCAGAACACATTGCTCGAAACAATGTCAACTGAAGTGGGTTTTGGTTTTACACCTTTGTTCCCATTGCTTTTGATCTAGGTTTCATAAGGTTTAATTTTGTGCTTCCAATAAGTTTTGTGGGTTTGGTTTGACTTTTATTTTTTCCAGAAATTATTGGTATACTTGTAAAGGGAATATATGAGTGGCGGGGAGGAGGTAATTATGAGGAATTGAAGGATTCCATCTTGAAATACCCAGATGACAGGAAGTTGCTGTGCTTAGATTCTATTAGCGCTTTCAATATTACTGTTGATAGCTTTGGGAAGGTCATTAGCCTCCAGGAGCAAAAAGAAGTTGTTCAAGGACTTTCATGTATTCCTTTCAAGGTGTCTCCTTTACTTTTATTATCTTTGCATTACAATTTTGGTGTAATCTTTTGGTTCAGTGAATTGGGCTTTTTTATTAAAACAATGTAGTTTCTTCATATTCCTATATGGATAGCTTTGGTTGAGTTTCTTTTAGATAGAAAAACTGAAATTTGGGAACAATCACTTTTGTAAGAGTTTGATTGTTGAGGATGTTGTGTGAGAGGGCGTTTTTCAGTAACATGGCATCCAGCTGCTAGCTTCTTTGTTGATTTAAGTTTTTATTGTTAACTTTTTAAAACACTACTTTAGTCGTCAATGTGCACTGCCATTTTGTAAAAGATGATAATATCTAATCTATTTGATGAATACTACACTATAACTGCTGTTAATTTAATTTTGAGGGATAATATTCAATTTCATCCTTATACCCGTTTGCTTCTTAATAGGAATTGGGAGGTTATTTTGAGATTTGTGAATTGTGAATCTAATGTGTATGCCAATGGGTTAGCTAGATATGCACATTGTACTTCTATTTGTAGCAGCATCTTTGTTCATCCTCCTTCTTGGCTGTGGAGAATGTAGGATGAAGAAAGAAGCAGGCCTGATGTTAGGCTGTCATTGTAATCTCTTGATTTGAATGGATCACTATTATCCATTAAAAAAAAAAAAACTACACTATAACTTATATGAGAAGATTTAATTTTTACGTTATTTGATATCAACCAGCTTTTTTACTATTATTTCCCTGACCTTTTTAAACTATTTTATTTGTTTGTACTTGAACCTTCCCTTTTGAGCTTGCATGAAGGGCTTCCTAAAGATTTATTTACGTTTTGGCTTATGAAGTCGAGCAATTTATAATGAATATGGTCTCTTATTATTCATTACTACTTCCTTTATCAAACTAAATTCCTTATAGAATTGTGTCCTTTCTTTGTCATTTTATTTGCAGGGACAAGTTAAAAACTCCTGATCACAACTTCTAGCTAGTGGAAACTGATGATTATGGATCTAACAATGGCCTCCCTCCAATTGTCCAAAAGTGAATCTTCTTTGGTCGTGAAATTGGTGGTGCTGATTGGAAGCTTACTGCTTATACCTACATATCAATCGAAAAGCCACAATTATCTTGGGCCAACAGCCATGGATGCTGAAATGGCCTTTCTAATGGCCAACCAAGCACTTGCTACACCAGGGAAACTGATATAGAACCTTTTTGTTGGGGCTGGAAGCATTTTTGTTGCTGAAGCCCATTTTAAAGCAATGACCATGGTGTGCTTCTATTTCTTCTTCTTTGGGTGACTTCTACTGTTGTTACTCTCCGTTTTCAAATATAAGAGAAACTACCCTGTGTTTCTTTATTTTTTATTATATGCAAAATTACAAATTTTTAGAAGCATTAATTACATTTTTCCCAAATTGTCCCTCATAAATGGATAGTATCATTAAATTGGAAGAAAAAAGTAAACATTAATTGCAGGGGCATTTTAGTCCAAACATTTCAATTTCAAACATAATTAGCAAGATTAACTAATTTCCTTTAACTGTGTAAGTTGGTTGAAATTCTCCTATATTCAAAAATGGAGTAGTATTTGTTATACTGCTTTGCTCTTTGAAGACTGAAAATCTATGCATGTGTGCAGCATAATACCTTTAACATGAATGATATGAACATTTTAGGGTTCTGACATTGACATCAGGGTAGTTAGTACGTGATCGGCATTGACCTGACTGTAATGTTTGGAGTAATTTTAAGCAGGTAAATATGCTAAATAAATGCTATTACTATTATTATTTGGTTTACCTGGAACATTATGTTCATTTGATTAGTTGAATTCAGCACCACACACACGATATCTGAATATGCTTAAATAAAAGAAACTACATGATATGCATCTTATAAATTTAAATGTGCATCTTGCAGTACGGATTGCCTATGCCAATATCTCTATTAAGGATTGACAATAACCTTCCTCCCTGGCGTCAAGGGCTAAAAGAGGTAACTTCCTGAAATAATTTATTCATTTCGTAATTGTGATTAATTTTCTGTTCAATCTGTATTGTTTTCTTATTTGGCTATTGATATATATCATCTCTCAATTCTATCATATAAGAGAATTGATATTTTGTGATTGATGTGCCTTTTATCTTTAGTAAATTATCAATCTTGATATAAAATTTGTGGTGGTTGATTTTTTTTCTTCTATTGTAGTAGTCGTTGATACTCTTTAATTTTTCTTTTAGTACATTATTTGAGGGGTTTGATTGGTTTTACTGTAGATTTTGTTTATAACCTCCTTTGAGCTGTAGACTTGATGTTAGACAATGGTTCCTGCAAGGACTGAGCCTATATTTTCTAGACTTGGGTCTTTGTGATCTTACTTGTAAGCTCTGGCTTTTGTGTCAAGTGTTTAAGTTAACATTTGACAGTAAATAAATTTAAACAGCTTTTTCTCAATAATTTGAGAAATGTCACAAAATAAAAAGATTTGACAAACTACCTCAGAACCCATCCCATTCATTGTATAAAAATTGCATTTTTTTTTTTGGCCAACGTATAAAAATTGCATTGGTTGTTTGATGTATATGGTCCCATCTTGACTACATGAACTTGCTTTTTTCCCCCAATAAATAACCGCAGATCCAAAATGTGTCTTATTTCATTTTGTCGCAAACTTGCTAAAGAAAGACCCTATGGCCAATCTCTCCCATCAAAAAATGACTAGTGGATCGAAAAAAATTAGTAAGGTACAGAGTTACTTGTGTTCATATTTTAAATATTATATTTCTGAGCAGCATTATCAAAAAATATTGATAATTTAAATATTGATATTATCAAAAAAATGACTAGTGGATCAAGAAATACAGAGTTATTTGGAGAAGCTTCTGAGCAGCAAGCATTAGTTATGATGAATTGCCTTAATACTTTTTGTGCAGTTTCAGGAGAGAAAGTGAACAAGTCAAAATCTTCACTTTTCTTTTCCAAGAATGCAAGTGCAGATCTGAAAGGAAGAGTCAAGAGGATAGCTGGAATGAATATTTCCTTGGATGTTGGTAGATATTTGGGTTTCCCCCTAACTGATGATCGTAGATCAACAGATAAATTTCAACATGTAATTGATAGAGTCAGATCCAAGCTAGCTGGGTGGAAGACAAGTTGCCTCTACCCCTGGACGTTTAGTTCTTGCAAAGTCTGTTCTAAATGCTGTGCCTTTGTATCCTATGAAAGTTGCAAAAATCCCAACCACAGTTTGTAATGAGATTGAGAGACCTCGAAGGGACTTTATTTGGGGAAGTACTAACTCAAGAAGTTTTCATCCTCTTAGTTGGTGCAAGATCACGCTTCCAAAAGCCTATGGAGGACTTGGTTTTAAAAAGCTCTCCAGTTAACAAAGCTTGTGGTACTAAACTTGCATGGAAGCTGATTTCTAGTAACAACGGTCTTTGGGCTGATCTTTTGCAACGAAAGTATATGCTATGTTCAGATGAGGAGTTATTGAACACTAAGCAGAGTGATTCAAGGCTATGGAAGTTATTCATATGCCAGCATAAGGACTGTGGAAGAAGGAACCAGGTGGCAGCTACATAATGGAGAATCAATTAATTTCTTTAAAGATATTTGGCTATTTCCTTATAAAAAGATTGAAGATTTGTGCTGACACCTCTCTGAAGAGGAGGAAAACTCGAGAGATATTTAATGTTGTGGAATGGCATCATTGATAGCTCTTTTATTTAATTTTATTTTTTGATGAATCATTGATAGCTCTTTTACTGCGAAGAGTGCATACTTTACGATTGAAATCCCCCCCCCCGCCCCAAAAAAAAAAAAAAGAAAAAGAAAAATTGTTAGATCCTTTGTTCAAAACAATTTGGAAGTGGAAGGGGCTGACAGAATTCGAGTCTTTCTATGGTTCACTTATCATAAAGACTGTCCACCAATAACTAGAGGATTTCTTGGGCTAGTTGTACCCCCTCATTGCAACTGGTGTGGGGAAGATAAAGAGGATGCGCTTCACGTTCTTCGGGATAATGTTTACGCAAAGCAGATTTTGGTCTTAGTTACTTTCACGTAAGCACCATCAGTCTTTCTTTTCTTTTAATTTAAAGGATGGATGGCTTCGAATCTTAAACCTCCCTCAAACTCTGGGATTTCTTCTAGCTGGAACCTAACTTGGGGAGTGGCCATTTGGAAGCTATGGATATGGAGGAACTGTTCTATTTTTCCAACAGTGGTTCCATAATTCATGGAAATTCTATGTCATGCGAGAGGAAAAATAATTTGAGTGCCAATGATGCAGTTGATTCTGATAAATGCTGGAAACCCCCCCTGAAAGACTGGGTTAAATTTAACACGGATGTTGCTATATCTTCTATTTCAAAAAATGCTGGCTCTGGAGGGAGTGCTGCGTGACAATGAAGGTCTTTGGATTGTGGGTTTTTTCATTTTCTCGATAGCTGTACTTCTCTTGAATTAGAGGAGTGCGCTATTTTACGCAATCTTCTCTTGGCATGAGATATGAGCTTTAAGAAGGTGATTATTGAGTAGAGCCGGTAATTCGAGCGGGTCAAGCTTATTTGGGCCGGGCTCAATTCGGGCCGGATTTATTCGTATCGGGCTTAAAGAATCCTATTCTTTCTAAAAAGCCCATATAGCCAAGCCCGGCCCTAACACCTTCGGGCTTCGGGTTTATTCAGACTGGCCCGAATACCCGAAACTTTTTTAAAATATTTTTTATTTTTTAATCAATTTTAATTTTTAAATAATTTTATTAAGCATAAAATATTTTTTAACTTAAAAGGAATAAAAAATAATAACTTATTAACTTTGTAGTTAAGTACTTAAGTAGCTCTGTTACTATTTTATTGTCTTATGTGTAATTTATTCATGAATGTTTCCTTTACTTGTAAATTGATGTCTTATTTATTTAAATATTTTCCTTATCATGGTTATATAAAAATATTTATATATTTTAATTGAATCATATTATTTTAATTATGATCAAGTTAATCTCAATTCAACTACGATTAGACCACTAATTTAAAATTATTGTCCTAATTAGTTCAAAATTTTTAACAACTATTAAATAAACTGTACTTTTTGTTTTTAAGAATATGAGAAAATAGCCATCATTATATTATATAAAACAAAATCATTTAATTATGGGTAAAATATTTTTTTTTAAAATTTTTTCTTTAACCTTTTATATTATTTAAGTCTTATATACAAAGGGTATTTACTTTAATTCATTCTTAATTTTTAACTAAGTCTAACATGGATGATAATTAAATAATTATCTAAAAATATTAGTTTATTTATTATGTTTGTTTAGTAGTAGAGCCGGAATTTGTAAATGCCCAAATTTTATTTTTAAAATTATTTTTAATTTAAAATTAATTATCTTATTTTATAAAAAATATAAAATATAATTTTTTGAACAAGAAAATGGTGTATATGACTCAATTTTTCTAAAAAAAAGATTGAGTCTTAAAGTATAAAAATTAATATTAAAATATATTTTAATTATTATTTTGAGATATTTTATTTGATTAAAAATTATAAAAATAGGAAAATATAATATTTTTATTTTTTTTAAATAACTATAGTAATACACTCAAATATATGGTATTTTAAAATAAAATGATATAAAACTTTAAAAATAATTAATATTTATTGTATCGAACTCGATCGGGCTTGGCCCGAATTTTCTCGGGCTTATTCGGGCCGCCCGAATAGGCCCGAACAATAAAAAAATATTATTTTATTCGGGCTCGGGCCTAAATTTTTCGGGCGGGTTCGGGTTGGCCCGTCGGGCTTGGCCCAAATTACCGGCTCTATTATTGAGTCCGACTGCGCGAATTTAGTGGACTTGCTCAATGGAAAGCATGAGGGCTTATACACATCGTTATGAAAACAGAACGGGTCATTAAAACTATTGAGATATTGGTTTAAGATTCAACGGTTAGACCATGGTCTAAACCATGGTTCAACTGGTCACAAATAAATTAATATATTTGTAATAATAGATGTTTAAAATAGAAAGAAATAATCATATATAATAACAAAAATAAATGTTTAAATGTCAAACAAAATAATATACAATAAAAAGATAATATCCATTAATATTATATCAATTTCATCCAAAATATATACTTCATAATGATTAATTTATAACTTTAAAATGTATACACATATACATAATTCATAAATATTTTTTACATTTTTTCAATTCATAATTGTCACACCTTGATCTTCTAAAGTGTGACTGGCTGGAATACAAGAAAACTCATATTTCATAAGTCTAAACCCATATAATATATAACATAATAATTGCCCAATCTCATCGTAAAATCGTCATTTGTATAAAAAAACTATTAGTATTAACAAAATATTTAAACTTCTTGTAGAAATTTTGGCAAAGTCTCCTCTGTAACTCGGACTACCGAAATCTTTACAACTTGTCAAAAGAATATCCAAGCAGCATTTGAAATTCTAGTCCAATACACATATATATACATATAATCTAAAATATTTTAAATAAGGATTCTACCTATAGGATTTGTGGAGCAACTCTAGAGTAAAAAACAAAATAATTAAATATTTACATTAATCCACAATATCAATGGAGCAACAAAAAAATACTTCTCGTCTTAAGGAGTCCAATGAGGTCTAACTAAAGAGTAGGTCCACTTCTACTATTAGAATATCAATTTTTTTTCAATAAATAACGTCCTCAAATAATATTAATAAATAAAAGTGATAATTGTAAACATATATAATAGGAAACCAGAGGTTAATTTAATTATCAATGATATTAGAAAATTTTCATACAATTTATCCTTGGTAATTGAGTAACAAAATAGAAAAAGAGAATAGAGAATCGTAATCAACAAGTTAGGAATATATTCCTTATATGAAATAAATCATAAAATACAATTCTAAAGAGCGAAAAATACAATTTGAAAGATTTCTTTTTTGTTAGGACCTAAACAGAACGAATAATAGGCGTATCCACATAGTTCATGAGGGTAAGTAACATCTGGCGTGATTAGAAGTTACAAAAAAACAGACGCAAGCATAAAGCTTATGAATAACAGGCGTGGATTATATCCATAAAATCCCATCCTCCTTTCCACTTGTGTTGGCCGACACATAGAACTAGTACCTCCAATGTACCCTGCTAGCTAGGTGTGCTATGGCGCGCCAATGGCTAATGAAACTATCGTTAGCAACTAGTATTCTATATTCGGTCCAATAAAATATTTCTGTCATGTATGAAATCCAAAAAAATCCTTATAGCTCAAAATTTTCCTTTAATTTGTGAAGTATAAATAATTTTTTCATCTACCATTTGTCCGGTCCATGCATAAACAATAATTAATTCATTTTTTTAGAAAAATACCATGGAAATACATACATAATTAAACTTGAATAATGAATATATATAGATAAATAAATAAATGAATGAATGAATAAGGCAAAAGAAATACCATCACTTCTTTTCATTGGGGAATGTTATTTACTTACCTAATATATCACCCTGTTTCCAAAATTCCCTTCTTGCAACTGCAATCAATTTTTCTCTTCTTCTACTGATCCTACCAAACATAATAGAATTTTAATAGATTTTCTACTAGATGAACAAACTCTCTCTCTCACACCTAGTATGCATAAATTTTCAAAGCAATCCATTTAAACTGCTTAACCTTAAATCTTTTGCCCCCAACAATTCCGATATCACAATTATACAATAAATCAAACTTCTCATCAGAGATCAATTTAGGCTTAAGAAAAGAGTGATTCTATACCTACCTTCTTTCTCTTATAATAATCAAAATAGCTCAAGTGAAATTACCTAACAAAGTATAATCTTTAAAATTAAATTTTCAGCTTAATTAAATTCTATCCACTTCCTAATTTACGCATCACACATGAGTAGGAAGAAAATCAAATTTTACAACTCATGCAACACACACACACGTAGAGGTGGGCGGCAGCAGCACACTAAAAAAAAAATGAGGAGGAGAGATTTCAAGCATACCCACAACAAATCAAGCTAAAGGAAGATGGAGAAACAAGTGTTAAACCACCAAACAAGCATGAATCAATTGGCAAAGGAAGCCTTCGACGCCGCTGCAGCAATCAAAGAAGGAAGAAGAGCAGAGTGACAGCAAGAAACAAGGAAGAGAGAAAACCAGTGTCACTGGCGACTAACAAAAGTGATTGGAAGAAGAAGAATAAAGTAGGGAAATAAGAATGATTTTCTCTTGTGCTCCGTCTCTCTCTCAAACTGAAATTTTGAGAATGTGCAAGAAAGGAAAAGGATGAGAATTAATGCCTGCTGCCCACCGTGTGTGTTATTGATTTTTATTAATATTATATTCTTTCTTCTTTTTTTTTTAATAATTTATAGTATTAGAACAAAAATAAAATAAGTCCTTTAGCATCAACCGTATTGAAATCTAAACCTGCCAATAAAGACTCAGAAATATTCTCACCAAATTACCATTCACTTCATTATAATTACCCTACAATTTTAAAATACTTAACTATTTTATCATAATTTTTTTAAATTTTTTATTAATTAATTTAATTTATATCTACACACTTGGATTGTTACAATAATGCTTATTAGCATACATATGTATAAATTATAATTTACAAATATGAATTAAAATAAAAATAAAAATTAAAAAATATGACCAGTTCAACTGGTTCTAAGTTGATTTTGGCAGTTTTGGTTGGTTCTCAGATT